CATTTTTACTGTCATGTCCCTTTTCTTTGAGTTTTTAAAATTTTTCGAAATACCCATAGTTCCGAACTTCAAGGTTCGGACTAGTGTCTTTTTTACTAAGCGACACAACTTGAAGTACTTGAAGTTCTGAACAACTTATTCATTCAAAGTACACAAGTAACCTTGATTCGGGTCACTTCCGCATTCTTTTTGAGTGAATAAGCAGTTCAGAACTTGAAGTGGTTTCCAAACCCCTCAACTTGGCTGCTTAATTTTTAAAAATGTTGGATCAGAACTTGAAGTTCTAAACTGAAGTACTCTGGAAAAATACAAAATAAAAATAAAAGAACATCATGGGCATAAAATATGAAAAATGAGAAATATCTCTTAATAACACTAAAAAAAAGAATTTACAGAACTTTACACAGTAGGGGGGGAATTGTTAGGGCCCCAACTTAGTGCATGGGTGCTGGTTAAGGATGCAGTAAGAGAACCTTCCTCGTTGGCTTAGTCACCAACCTGATAGTGTGTGGGAGCATGAGTCTCCACACCATGCAGTGGCATGAATCGATGGTGAGCTGAGCAAAAGGTAGAGTCACCCGGGCTGGGCGGGTGCCAAGTTTGAGTTCAAATTCAAACTAACGATGCATGCTAGACTGAAGATGTGGGTGAAACGGCCAAGACGTGAGCCCTTAGAAAGGTGGTGACAATTATAGGACTTGGCCCAGGCTGACCAGCCGGGTCACCTCACTATAGGGTGTGGCTTGGGGTGGAGGCTGAACCTACAAGCTGTTGTAACTTGTAAGTGACAGATTGATGGACTCTTGTAACCGCCCAGGACGTGGGTTGCATAGCTAGCTGTCAGGTGCCCTGGACTAGTCCATGCGCAATATCTGATTATCATGTGTAAAATCCATTTGAATTAAGTCAGTTGTAACTTGGGTCTATACATACCCTGACCCAGATCCTTGGGTATCCGTGGCAGTATATATTGTAACCATTCAACTTGAATAAACTAAGCTACGGCCCTTGACCCATTTGTCTTGCATTGTGTGTGAGTGTGCTATGTGTGGTCCTACTAGGTGTACATAGAATTGGTGCACATAGATAGGGCCGAACTTGACCGTTGGTGGCTAGGCTAAAAGTCAAGGCCACAAGGATGCTAAGTGAAAGAAATGGGCCCATTAACATGATATATGGTAATATGAAGTAGGTAATTTTATAACAATGTCAATTCAACATAATTACACCTTACTCATCGGAGAATTTGAACCATTCAGGTCCCATGGTGTTGATATCTAGAGCATCAGTTTACATTTCTTTATAATTTAATTACAATGGTATTAACATGCCTTGAGCTATCGTACGTTCACATTCCTTGGAATTTCATGACAATGGCATTAACTGAACTGATGAAGTTCAAACAAGATTGCTCTTCTCTTCCAGTATATCTTTTTTCTTTGCATTGTCTCTCTCTAACAAATAAAGCCGCTCTGCCTCGGGTAAAGCCATGATTATGGCTTGCATTTTGGTGTTCATTTGTTCAAGTTTTTCCATTAATCTGTCATTTGTGAACATGCCAAGGAAAACCATCTGGAGTGTTTGCCAGCTCTCAACCAATGGTAGAACTATGATCACAGCAGAACCAACTGTGCCCCATGTTATTGCAACAACTGCCCAAAATGTGAAGTACCCAATACTGAATTCACCTGGGGAGAGAGAGAGAGAGAGGCTGTCAGTTTCTGCCACAATAATCTTAACAAAAGGGTCAGCAGTAAGCTTGAAGGAAGATTTATTTAGGAGCATCTATAGAATGAAAAGAATCGCACCATGAACTCTACCTAGTTGCATATGCGAGCCTCAAGAAATATACAATAGCCCAGATGGAGACTTCCAATTTGAATCTTAGTGTGATGTAAAACTGAAGAGGTGCAATAGAGGAAAACAACATGCCTCTACTGGTCTAGATTATATTTTCAAATATAACCTGATGATCACTCAGTATATGAGGAATTTCAAGAGGGGCCATAAGCTGACTAAAATGTGCATATTATGCATAATATCTACTAGAGAAAGAAGGTTATCAACTCCTTGTAAATTGTAGAATCAGCACATGTTGTCCAATTGAAGATTGAAATTTCAAATTTAGGTAAAATGGTGTATCCACAATTTTTGCTATCTATTAGATATGCAGAGTCTACAATCGTTTTGAGGGCATAATCAAGAAAGGGACATATTATTTTGATAGATTTTTTTTTAAGATGATGAAAAATAACTAAAAAACTTTGCTATTCTCCTATGTTAAGTAGTTATTGACATAAAATTCAAATGGAGCAGTACAAATAGAGGAAGAAAGATTCATACAGTTGAAAAGATCTGTAGACGTTAAAAAATGCTACAAGCAAATAAACATACATTTGTAATTCCCTACTATAAGACATTGAAAAAAATTGATTTATTATAAACATCCTTAGAACAGCTTTGAGGTCATGGGGGACAAACTCATTGCAAGGGGAACGTATGGTAATGGTAAGTACATGCATAGAGATATAGATGGACAGATAGGATATAGGATTGAACAAATTATATGAGTGAGGAATCAATAATTATGTCTGAAAAAAAAAACAAAACAAAAAAAAAAACAAATCCAACAAAAGAAAGGAAGCTAGCTCAGAGTTACCTGCTGGAAGAGAGAGCAGTGGCCACAATATGACAATCACGATGGTGAAGCCGACCCCCCACTTCACAATCCAAGCTTTAGCTTTCACTAGTTTTTCCTCCTTGAACTCCTCGGCTGGCAAATCACCCTTATCCTTCTCCACCACAGTTATTTGCTTGGTTGTTTCCCAATCATAATTCTGAGGCCATATGAAACTACACAATGCATGCACAAGCCCTCCAAATAGTATGGAAACAAGATTACCAGCAAGCATTGGTGCATTTCGACCAGTGGTGTCAAGATTTACACGACCATATTCAACTTTTGTCACTGATAACCATGTTATAATGCCAGAAAAACAACCTAGGAGGGCACCAATAATGGCACCCTTAGCGTTTGCCTTTCTCCATAAAAGCATAAAAGCTATGGGTAAAACCGCAGAACCAATGAGAACACCCATTGCAAGATACATCCACCCAAGTGAAACTCCAGCCTTGTTCAGTATGACTGCTAAAACACCCATGAAGCATCCAAATCCGAGGACCACTGCTCTTGAGACCTTGAGGATTTGTTTTCCAGTTGCATTTGGATTGACATAGGTCCGGTAGATGTCGTAGGTGCATAAAGATGAGACTGCAATGAGTTCGGAGGAACCGGCGGATGTCACAGCCCTGAGGAATAGATGGGGATAGGCATATCAGCATGTGTTTCAGAGATACTTGAATTCAATGGCCAACAGTCAAACCAAATAAGTGTATATTTGTTTCACTAGGACCCATATTCTGGGTCAAGTGGACGGAGAGCTCACAAAGGCAACATAATCACAACGAGTCACTCGGTCCTCTCTTGGCTGACATAAAAGTTTTCTATAAAAAGAAATCGGAGAAAAATGAATTTTCAGGGAAAGTAGCAGAATAAAAACCAAGGATAGATAAAACTAACAAATGAGGAAATTTTGTAAAAAGTACATAAAACTTCTAATGTATTTATCGACAATTAGAGCAATTTCTAGTTAGAGAAAATTAATAAAGTTCTAATTGTTTGTGTGCTTTTCAAGGCAAAAGGTCACTCTCATCCATAAAAGAAATGGCAGAAAGAAATCGGGCACCATCCAAACAAGTCTTACCTCTATTATTTGCAAAAATGTGGGGCAAAATAAATAAGACTTTGCCTGCGATGAAGATTCTAAGCATGATGAAATAAGTAAACTTACATGAATAGCATCGTAAGGAGGAGAATTGAACCCCCTTTTCCCATTAAAGCTATTGCAGTAGCAGGTGGTACGAGTCCATGACTAGCCTCACTTTCTGTTAATGGGAGATCAAGGGCTAGGGCACCCAGACCCAATGATGTTGCCAATGAAAATGGAACTGCAAACCAAACAAGGCCACCCAACAAATAGCCCTTGTGAGTTGATGATGGGCGAGCTGCTATGGCACTAACCCAATACCCCTATAGCATTAAAAAGGAGCAGTCAGACCATTGAATTTTAGATCTGTCACTAAGGAATATCATAAAATGACATGGATTTCAAGAGGAAGACCAAAGCAATCTTTTTACACTTAGAATAACCAGAAAGCCATCTGATCTTATTGAAGTCATTTCAACAGTAGAATTAAATTTGAGAAAGTGATGAAAAGAACCATAACAAGATCAAAAGGTTGACATCAAGTTAAAGCAATTTTAGTTTTTCTAGTGACAATCAAGATACTGGATACCCATGGCTTTTTAAATATGATTCTGATACCTTTGGCAGAAAGCATAAGTGCCACCATTCGTTTACAAAGTACGAAAGAAACATTGACTACAGTAGGTTTGGATTTTCACTTAACATTGCTATCTTTATGAACAGGTGTTTTTGTAATACATGAAAGATCACATACATACTCATAATCAGGTAATTACATGGTTGATAAAACAAAATTTTTTGTATATCATGCTAAGCATATTTTTTGACATAAGGCACAAATGCCAATACAACTTAACCATTTCATTATACTCAGAGGTGTTCTAATTGTCCCAATAAACTCCCAAAGCAGCATCATTAAACGTATTTAAAATACAGTTTCTGGTTCTCACATTGTCCACGAATACAGTACCAAAGTTGCCAATAATGTTGATGATTCCAAAAACGAGGCCACCCGAGCTTAACATTGTCAAGTAGGAGCCGTTGTGGTTCCCATTCACTGGCCCACACGCTTGACCCTCATGTGAAAAAGGATCTTGGCAAATCCTTGATTTGCTAGCAACTTCCAAAAGGTGATCATATACAACCCTTGGACTCCCAAGCTTGCTACTTGTAGTGTAGACCAAGAAGACAAAAATTACCAAAACCAGATGCACTGCATATTCAACAAAGTAGAAGAGCAAAAGCTCAGAGCACAACCATAAATTTGATAACCTATACTATATTCTATTTCATAGTTGCATAAGGTGTTTTATAACTTGCCGAGTCCGACTCCGATCGGCACAGTCACTCAGATTTGGCCCTCATGAGAAACCTCGGGAACCGGTTGCAGAGTCTCACCAGTTCCCCAGTTTCTATTTTGTTTCTTTAGAATATGTGGCCGAGTCGGACACCAGACTTAGCCAAATCTGACGGCCAACTCAAACTTATGACCCCGCATGGCTCCAAGCCCTTGACCAAATTTAAAAACACTGGTTGCGTATATTAGTTGGATAGTTCTAAAATCATGACTCGGACTTGACATGGAGTCTTTGAACCCCCAGTAAGTCAAGTTCAGTAGGCAACTCAGATTAGACTTGAACAAGTTATGGTTCTTCAACTGTGCCTTAATTGTACAAAATAAGTATAAAAAACATATAGAGGAAAAAAGATTCAGTACCCCATGAACTAACTTGTACAAATGTTAGCTCATGGCCGACATGAATATTTGTAAATGGACAGTCAGATCTAGGATTTAAGAACTCAAAACCTCTCTCTTTTTCAAATTGTTCATATGGTGAATCAAAGTTGTTTTGTGAATTTCAGGTCAAAAAAACCCTAAATCAGATATTTGGGCTCTGAGCTAAAACCGCACAAGTAAGATCATGGTGTACCAAATATTTTCCCATAAGTAAATATCATTATATCATATGGATAGAGCCAGAGAAACTATAAAATTTTAAAAAAATAGAAACAAAAAAAAAATGTAAGGGAACTTGTCACCCCATTGAAATGATTTATGCTATAAATATGACTTGATAACCTAAAGAGATATCCAAGTTCATACCAATAACTGAGTGTATGTAGCTTGCCAAGAAGGTGGCCTTGAGTCCTCCAGCTAGTGTATATACAATCACACCGAGAGGTATGAGAAAACTAGCAGCATAAATATTGACTCCAGTTAGTGCATTTACAACAGCCGAACCACCTAGAAGCAGCATAGCTGTCACGATTATGTTTGTCAGGAAGCAGAAGCCAAGGAAGACAATATGAGCAGCAGTTCCCCATCTGCAGAAAATCAATTATACATAAAAATGATTTTATGGGTCTTTTTGGATATGTATAGGTCAAAGTAGTAGAAGACAAGTTTATTGATCCGTGTTGTATATGTTAGTGAATGTATTATATGCATGTCTATATGTCAAAGATTTTATATAAAAAATCTCTAATCTGAGAATAATTTTAAATAAAACAACTCTAATCTAAGCAGAGATGTAAAATAATTGTAAGAAAAGGTGCCAGTCTATATATGTATGTATAAAACAAATTTGATTAGATAATATAGTGGAGCTTACCTGGCTCTAAGAATTTCACAAACAGTATGAGCATAAGGTGCCTTTCTTTTGATTTCTATAGCAATGATCCCAAATAAAAGAACCTAGGGGAAGTCACCAGAGAATGAAATCGTTAGTTGAATGCTAAGGCAATATTACAATGCATTGCTCTTTAGAAAGGCAAATGTAACATATACTCAGTGTAGAAAATAAAAATTACACTATATAAAACATTATGGAAGATCAATAACCTTCTTCATATTATTATTTCGTTTACTGACCATAACCTCCTCTGTTTAAGAGGAGCTATCGCCGAGAGAAATTTAGTTCTTAAATCTATGCTATTTTTATATGGAAAAAGTTTATACAAGGTTGCAACCTTAAAATGTAGAACTATGGATGCACCTCAAAAATCCATCGGAAAATGTTATTTTAATGTTGAAAAACCCTGATCATCTCGACATCGAGATGTATGACTATAAAAAATAAAAAGATTTTGAGTCTAAAAAATAGTGCATC